ACCTCATCATAGGTCCACTCAACATGTATGAGAAAAGTTTTCAATTATATCATGCAACTTATATTCAATAAATATTTTTCAACTACACAATAATCAAATACGGCGTATAAAATGTATTTTTAGTTCTAGTTCATATATTATTAATTCATCTATTCATATTTCACACAATCAAATCATTCAAAATATATTGCAATTAATTCCTGAAGCAACATGCGGGGTATCCTCTAGTTACTCACAATGAATGAGTACCACCTTACGTTCGTGTAAGTGCATCTAGTGCCCCTTAGTGATTTTGGTGTATTGAAGACTTATAGGTTAAGGGGCTAATGTGTTTATGAGTGTACACAGGTCTATAAGTCTATGAGGAGTTTGATAATTACAGAGAAAGTCGACCCCTAAAAATGAAGTTCTTCGTCTGAAGACTTTCTAAAGACTTTGAAAGTGAAGAAATAGGTGTGACCTTGAAGACTTGGTATTCATTCGACGAACATGAAGCGTGAAGACTTTTATTTTCGTAGTTTCATTTTCTCTTTCTTGAGTCATAGGAATCACCGTACTGTTAAAGGGGGTCGAGGAAATACTAAGGAAAAATTTCCAAGTGATGCTCAACTCAAAATCCTACACCTACCAATCCCTTCAAGTGAAGCCATTGGAAATCTCATACAATTCAGTCAATTTATTCAGTGACAACCTCTCTTATGTGAAACGAAATGGACTGGCTTCTATGCCATCCTTCTCGTATGGAGCTCGCAGAATATGAACTCTTTGCCACCCCTTCAGATGTGGGTGGTGAAGAAAAAGAACTAATCTCTTCTGCAGGGTCAGGTCTCCAGACATACATAATCGTCTGAAGAATTTGCTGGAGACCTGAGCATGCCTGATAGGACGCAGGCTAATCATGAAGAAATGAACTTTCATTTCTCACATCCTCACACTGCTTTATCTGTTCTGTTGCTTGATGAAATTGATCTGATGAAATGATGTCATATTCTTCACTGATGAAGTATATGAGTGTGTAAGCTGCACT